TGTCATCGTCATCCATGACGGAACTAGGGGAAAAGCTCAGCAGAATCTTGGATTCTGGCATGAGATGACTTGCATTCGCCCGGATAGCTGCTACGATGTCGGATCGCTCCTCCCTCCCGGGATGCAGTATCTCGTTGTGAACATGAAGTTCAGCAGACGTGCGGTAGGTCTGGAACGACCCAAGTCTATCTTGGAAATTTCCACAGTAACGCGGACCAAGTTTGTGATATACGGCGATCAGCTCATCCGACAGGGGTTCAGAGAAGAGGTGGAACGAAGCAACTGAGAGCTTAGAAGAGATGACGTTTCTGCCCAGTCGGGGCGCCAAGTTCCGTGGTGTCCCCAGAAATGCGAGTATGTGGTGCTTCGACACGCTGGAAGACATGGAGGCAAAGCTATCCTGGCTGCTATCTAGCACCGGAGGATGTGAAGGATAGTGTGCCTTCATAGTCTCGGTGAACTCACCATCTACAAAAAGTGATGCTTTGGCAGCACCCATACCAATAGCCTTTGTTCTTTTGTGGACAATGGCGATGTGATACCACCGGCCCGCTTCGAAACGAGGTGCTTTCTTAAACCGGACACTAGGTACAACACCAGTAGAATGACCCATATAGGTCTGCAGGATGAAGCAACGAGTATCTCTTTCCAGATATGCCATTAGGAAACACGTTTGCGTATCATCGTAAGCGCCAAAGAGTGTAGTGTGACAGTTGGTATCAAATCTGTCGACTCGTATCCAGGCCGCGAACGTGTATCCGCCTCCCGTAGACATGGGTGGAAATGGACGACCGATATCTGGAAGTTCAATCGCACTGAAGCCATGCAGGGAGAGATCGAACTGTATGAAAGGCGGGTCGCGAGACGAGCGCATACCGCGTAGGAGGAACTTGGCAGCTGATTCCGAAGACGCTGCTTTGCGGAAGAGATAGTATGCATCGTCGAGCTTGTTTATACCGTACTGCACTAAGCCATCGGCCAGCTCTAGTAATAGGCCAGCTTCTACAGGAGCGCACTTGTTCTCAAAAAGAAGAGGCAAGACTGTACTCAAGACGCCAGTGACATGTAAAGCAGCTTTGTTAAAGGAAGAGATGGAAACGATCTCGAGGATGGCAAGCAACACCGAAACGGAGAGAGCCTTGGACCGTGTGCCTGGAACATCTTCACCAGACAAACCCTGCCAAAAGTGAAATATGGTTGGGATGATGTCTGGGTTCTGCAGTATCTCGTTGCCGCTGAATATAGCGCGGACCTGGCTGCGCAAGGGGTCGAGATCGATGTCGGTGTCACTGTACATGGATCGCGGGCTAGAGACTACAATTTCGGTAGCCTGTGAGTCGCCATCGGGGTCTGCACCCTCCTCTGGCTTTGACTGTGTGGTGTCGAGCTTCTTATCAATGTCTCTGAATATACGTGTCATGGCCTCTTCGCCCAATGCAAAAGCAAACAGGGTGCCGAACAGCTGCTCCTGACCCGCATCGTCGCGCTTGCTCTGTGACTGCCCGCCGAAAACTCCTGTGCTGCCCAAGGCTTGTTCCAAAGCACTCCAGCCGCCGTGCTCGACGCGCTTTGCAAAGAAGCGCCTGTTACCGGCATGCTCGTTCAGCGCGTCTGACAGGACATCCAGCGTTCCCTTGATCACCTCGAAGAAGTCGATGCGGTCGGGGGTAGGCAGCTCGGCGGGCTTGTAGAAGCCAGAGAGCGAGCGCAGGGTAATGAGGAGCGTCTCGAAACCTCGGACATGTCTGAAGGCATCTTTGGTATGGGTTTGGTCGTTTGATTCGATCAGCAGCTGGCGCATGCGGCGGAGCGCGTTGCTCTGGTTGTGGAGGACTTCGGAGGTCGGGGGAGTGGCTTCGGACGCTCTGATCAATTCGTCCGCTAGGCTTCGGAGTTCGGCTATCTGGTTGTTCATGGGCGGGAGTCTTGAGGCGGCTGTGGAGGACCTGTGAGGCCGGGAAGTCGCCATGTTCAGTCAAGGCCGCTGCTGCGGAAATTCGGCGGGGAAGATGGCTGCGTGGATAGCACCTTCATATCTCCAAAGCCCCAAACCCGCACACGAAGCTCGAATGCGCGGACGAGCAAAGCGGGGTCTTTTTGTCGTGGGTTGGCGTATATCGAGGGCTGATTACGGCGGGCGGGCGCCGCGTTCGTGGGGGGTGCTGCTAAATCGGTCATCGAAGCTGATCCCTGTCGCTCCAGAGCTCAGGCAGCCGCCGAGCAACGTCGCGTCGTCGCAAGCAAGGTACACTGATAAAGAATGCGCTATTTAGGAATAGTGCACGTAGTCTGTCTAGACAACCAATGCAGTTATGATAGACAGCGCTCCGTGTCTCACGCGGGCCGCTTGGTGAGCTTCTGACTATTGCCTCACGTGAGGACGCATTGTGGCTGACCCCGGAGAGTGGCTGCTCGAACGTGTCGTAGCTTGCATCCCGTCCAACACCAGATGGATGCATGTTCAAGCCAACTCCTCTAACCAAGCCCAACAACTGCGAGGCGCGTTCATCGTTCGAATGTCGTTGCCACGGACGCCCTGATACCAACCATGTATCATTCATCTGATACTCATGGCGCGTGCGCTAGCTCACCCCAGCCTCACTCGCGCGGGCGCGGATAGGTCATGCGTCATCCACCTAGCGCGCCCGGGCCATGCACCTCGGTCCTGATAAGAAGCTCCCATCGCCATAGCTACCCCAGCTGCATCCCCATCTCTCCTCCACAACACACGCCTCCCTCTCATCCCCCATCCTTCATCTATCAAGCTTCTTTCATCTCCCTTTTCCTCTTGTCTTTCTAGTTCTCGCTGTGCGAGCTACCGCAATCATGAAGTACAGCTACAGCCTGATTGCCGCGCTACCGGCTTTGGCCGCTGCGTCACCTACCTTCCAGGCAGAGACCATCCACAAGGGCTCAGCCCCAGTGTTGTCATCGACGTCGGCCAAGGAGGTGCCTAACAGCTACATGGTCGTCTTCAAGAAGCACGTCAAGGATGCCTCCAAGCACCACGACTGGGTCCAGAGCGTCCACTCCAAGAACAACGAGGAGCGCATGGAGCTGCGAAAGCGCTCATCGCAATTCCCTGTCACTACTGAGGTCTTTGATGGTCTCAAGCACGTTTACGAGATGGCCGGCATGAAGGGCTACTCTGGTCACTTCGATGACGAGACCATCGAGGCCATCAGGAGCCACCCCGACGTAAGTTCCATCTCCAGCTCCATCTATCTCAAAAGGCGTTCGCTGCGATTCAGGCTACCACGAGCTGCGTGGCCTCGAAGCGCTGGCGGCCTTATCTCCGCAGGCAGCTCCGGCTCCGCACGCCATCGCAACCACACGTGACGCCATCTAGGTACTTTGTACCTGCATAAGACTTGGCGCTAACAACTTGATAGGTCGACTACATCGAGCGCGACTCAGAGGTCCACACTCTCGGCCACGACGAACCAGAGATCGAGAAGAACTCCCCATGGGGTCTTGCTCGTATCTCCCACCGCGACTCCTTGAGCTTCGGCACCTGGAACAAGTACCTGTACGCCGCCGACGGTGGTGAGGGTGTTGATGTTTACGTCATCGACACTGGCACAAACACCAAGCACGTCGACTTTGAGGGTCGTGCCAAGTGGGGCAAGACCATCCCTAACGGCGATGCCGACGAGGATGGCAACGGCCACGGCACCCACTGCTCCGGCACTGTTGCTGGTAAGAAGTACGGTGTTGCCAAGAAGGCGCACGTCTACGCCGTCAAGGTGCTCCGCTCTAACGGCTCCGGCACCATGTCCGACGTCGTCAAGGGTGTCGAGTACGCTGCTAAGGCGCACTCTGAAACTGTCCAGGCCGCCAAGGACGGTAAGAAGAAGGGCTTCAAGGGCAGCGCTGCCAACATGAGCTTGGGAGGTGGCAAGTCCACCACCCTCGACCTTGCTGTCAATGCCGCTGTTGACGCTGGTATCCACTTTGCCGTTGCTGCCGGTAACGACAACGCCGACTCCTGCAACTACTCCCCAGCTGCTGCTGAGAACGCCGTCACCGTCGGTGCCTCCACCCTCCTTGACGAGCGTGCGTACTTCTCCAACTACGGAAAGTGCAACGACATCTTCGCCCCTGGTCTCAACATCCTTTCCACCTGGATCGGCTCTGAGCACGCCACCAACACCATCTCTGGTACCTCCATGGCTTCTCCCCACATTGCTGGTCTCCTTGCCTACATGCTGTCTCTCCAGCCTGCCAAGGACTCCGCCTACGCTGTCGCCGACATCACCCCCAAGAAGCTCAAGGCTAACCTCATCTCCGTCGCTACCGTCGGTGCTCTCTCTGACGTCCCACGCAACACCAAGAACATCCTCGCCTGGAACGGTGGTGGCTCTTCCAACTACACTGAGATCGTTGAGAAGGGTGGCTACACTGTCAAGAAGGCTGCTGAGAAGAACGAGGAGGAGTCCGAGTTCCGCATCACCATCCCCTCTCTCTCCGAGATTGAGGATGACTTCGAGAAGGCTAAGGAGTCTGCCGGCCGCAACGCCCACCGCGTCGGAGGCAAGCTCCAGCACCTTGAGGCCGAGATCGAGGACTTCATCGCTGAGGAGATGGAGTCCATGTTCGAGAAGGTCAAGGAGCGCGTCGCTAGCCAGTAAATGTGACATGTAATGATCGTTAATATGAACCCAAGAGGGTCTACTGCTATATGGAATGGGATGGGTACGGTACTGGCGTTGGGTTCTTTACAAGGAGCATATTTCTCCTATCTCATTGGGCTCAAGTTGATGGACTGTACGTTATGGAATCATTCTTGACATGGAACGCAATGTGAGGTAGATTAGATATCTGGAATGGATATAACTTTCCTCCGCCATGTTTGCTTTTCATTCTCTGGTTGTTGTTTCTATGTGATGTTGTGGATGGAAGCTCGTTTACTGAGGCTCCGCCTCGTTCCAGAAATGGTATCCTACTGCACCTTGCCTTCGAAACCTTTCTCCAATGTCTGCTCTCCTTTCCCTGCACGCTCAACCGGTGGGTTTCAGGCCTCCCTTAACTTCGCATACACGTCTGAGAACCTTGAACATGAACTTGGTATGCTTGTTCAGTAGATCTGCAAAGGCTGGCTTGTTGAGCAGTTCGACATACAATCCAATCATCTCGCAGAGTACATCTCGTAGACCAACGTCACTATCTGGTGTACTGCTGAGAACGTGGTCTGCTACTTCTGCGAAGGCTTTGTGATTCCACACTTTGTTGCTGATTGTACGGAAATTTGTGCGTGCTAGCTCCTTGAGGCCTACCACATCGTATTTGTCGCCAATTGCGTACATCTTGGAGTGAAGGAGCAACAACTTTGGGTCAGTCTCGCCTGCTTCGATAATCGGGGAGCAGGTACTGCATGTGAAGTTGCAGGCTGAACAGCACTTATTGATGCAGCGATGATGCGGGCAGACCCAAACGGTAGGATAACTACAGCCCTGACCACATTTGTGAGGAAAATTTAAGAGGTAACCACAGCCACCGGGGCTGCGCTGCGACCGCAGGTCTACAGCAGCCTGTTTCTGCTCGCGTTTCTCGTCGGAATCCACTTTGTAATCATTTTCATAGAGGTACTGAACGAGCAGTCGTACGATTTCTGGCTCGTCTTGAGGTAGATCGACTTTGCCTTCACTTGCTTCCTGTTATCACATTAGCACTGATGTCGAACGCATCTGCAAATATCACAGTGGACATACTTCGCCAACAGGCCGCGGAAACCTTTCAGCGCGCTCGAAGAAGCCAGAACGCTTGCAGACGATGTTCTTGTGGACGCGGTATGTGTCACTTCCGCAAGTGATTGTGAAGTCAGAGTAGTCGCCTGATGCTAACAACCTAAGTGTTGGTTAGTGCGAAGCTTCTTTTCGATAAAATGTACTGCTAATTACTAAAGCGTACCCTAAAGGTATACACAGATTTATGCGCGACAAGCCCTGGAGGAAAAGAGCTGTGTATAAATTTGGTGTACATTCTAGTAATGAGCTTTTACTTACTCCTTCATCATCGTCAGATGAACATTCGGCGCTGGGGAAGCCACCATAGTGGGTGTTCTCTATACGAAGTTGGAGTTAGAGAAGAGATTGTGTCAATGTAGCTGGGAGACGGCTTAAGAAGGTTCGTGTCGCGCAACTCACCTTCACCTCTGACCTCACTCAACGCTCACGTCCGTGCTTTTCTTTCGTCTATTCCATATTTGTACGCACATATTTCGCCGAAACGACACTCACCACAGCCAGTGATATATCGGTCCTTAATCAACTACAACATGGCGGAAGAACAGGCGCGCGAAGAGCTCATGGGCACGCTCAAGAGGTGATATGATCATACCATTCGTCCATCCAGAAAGTAACGTCCTCACAGCTTGCTCGAATCTGACGAATACTCCGACTTTGTCATCACCTGCGGAACCGACACTTACAATGTGCACAAGAATGTGGTTTGTACTCGGGCGGGGTTCTTCAAGGGCGCGGAGGGGTTCACTGCTGGTCAAGTAAGGCAGACGTAGCTTATAGGTCGCGATATACTAACCATTCGGTAGGAAGGTGCGACTGCCAAAGCCGATCTCTCGGAGGACGAGCCAGAGATTGTGAAGCTACTCGTGCAGTACCTGTACGAAGGCGAATACGACGTCACGCTCACGGACATGGCACATTTGGCCCTGCCAGTAGTGTGTGTCAACAAACAACCCAACTATCGCTATTCCTTTCCACACACTTGCCAATCTGCCTGCTATAACTACAATTTTGCTTTTTTTTGCCCTCATCACAAATGCCGCTCCCAGGATTGCTGTGTCGACTTCGTGTGCACTCAGTGCTGTCCGGACTGGGCTTCTCGCACAAAGGGCATAGTCGCATCACAACTCCTCGTCAGTGCGAAGATGTACGGAATCGGCGACAAGTACGACGTACCTGGACTCAAACAGCTCGCTCTTGCCAAGTTCTCTTTCGCATGTGAGAAGTACTGGGAGAGTCAGCAGTTTGCCCCTGCCGCTCATTATGCTTTCTCCACAACACCAGAGAGCGACAAAGGACTCCGAGACATAGTCGCCAAAACCATCGCAGACCACATGAAGACACTTAATTCGCCGGTGGCGGAGGCGCTACTTAACGAGTTTAATGGCCTGGCTATGGGCGTGCTCAAGATACGCGCAAAGGACCTGGGGTGGATCTAAACTTCTGGAGAGCTCTGCGGATCTCACACCATGGAGGGGGAATTGGTTGTCAGATAGTATACGGAAAGCGAGAATTGGGGCATAGCGTCTGCCGCTTGGTTAGACTATTTTACACCAATTGGAATGTATCCTAAATCTATACACAGGCAGTTGTTCATGAATCTTGCAATATAATTTACCACAATTGCCTTCAGAGCGACCTATCGCAGAGCGATTCAGGATGCAGTCTTGACCATGGGTTCCAAGCCCCCGAGCTCTTCAGCCTGCTTTCTGAGAACACTGTACATAAGATTAGGATGCTTGTGGAGCAAAGTGACGATGCTTGGTACGTTGAGCAGTTTGATGTGTGATCTTATCGTCTGACAAAGCACTTGTCGCAAGCCAGTATCACTCTCAGGTGTTGAGATAAGGGCGTGCTCAGCTGCTATGGCGAACTGCTCAGTGTCCCAGAAGGCCGCACATGAGTGATAGAACTTCTTCTTGGCCAGGTATCTTAGTCCGGTGACATCGTACTTATCCGCAAGCTCATACATCATCGCATGAAGAAGAAGCTGGTCGGCATCGCCGTCAGGTGGTCGGACCGCGCAGTCTTTGCAGATGAAATTGACGCACTTTTCTCCACAGGCTTTTGGTGTACAATGATGATGATGACATACTTTATAGGCGGAGTCTAGGCAGTGAGGCTTGCAGCATGTGTGAGGGAAGTTGTAGTGGTAACCGTGTCTTCTTAGCACCGTCAGTTTTGGCTTGCCTGCCTCATTGAGATCATGACGATCAAGGCTAGGATACTGCGGGTCGTATTCGCTCTCGTAGAAGAACTGGACTAAGAGCTTCACAGCTTGCGGATCGTCCTCGGGTAAATGTATTCCACCCTCTGTGGCTTCCTGTATCCAATCCAGTCAGCGAATGTGCATACTGACACCAAGGGTAGCCATGATTCATGCGCAATTTTGTCACTTAACAATTCAATTTGGAACGCACAGGAGATCTTATCATTCCTAGCGCTGATACTTGCAAGCTGACGTACCTTGCATACGGGAAACTTCTCGGCCTTGCTGAAGAAAGATGACTGAGAGCATACGATAGCTTTATGCACTTTGTAGGTATCCGGTCCGCAGGTGATGGTTAGATCTGAGTATTCGCCCGACGAACGTAGACTGACAGTATGTGTTAACGAGAAGTAGCGATCGCCACTAGGAGATAGACTCACGCCTTTATTCGATCCATGAACTCTTCGCGCGCCCAGTTTGCCATGCCGTCGTTGATATAACGCTAGCTTTGGTGAGTGTCACTCTTCTTTTTCTCTCTGAAGAGCATGTGAACAGAGAAAGGTAATCAGACGAGGGTAAAACAACGACTCAAAGCTCGAACAAGATCAGAAGTGAAGACGACCTATCTTAGAGGTACCGGGTACGTGTTACGTTTGTATATAATGTCTTAAATATGTTGAATACTTCTGGTCTACTGTTTATATAGAAATATACGGAGAGACAGGAAACTCCTTTGTATCATGTTAGCGCGCGCTTTGCCATGCTGCCCAGCTCGCTCAAGAAAGACGCATATTGCTCTATCATCCTTTGAGAACCGCCGACATGTGTGCTAAGCGTAGATAGGCGATGAGAACTGATTTAAACATACTTATGCGACTATTGCTGCTTGTGCTATGGTGTTTCGCGTATGTGCCTTGTTACTTGGAAGAGAAACAGATGATGGAGAGGATGGTGGCGTTAGCGCCACCGCGTCATGTCAGCTCCCTTCCCTTGCTCCAGGGTCGCGCCAAGTTTATCTTCGCGTCGCGATACGGTCCGCAGGTTGACGCCGGACGCCTAACCACCCTGCGACAAGGCGAGCCGCCTTACTGTCACCATCTCTTGCAAGGCTGAGTACTATCTGCAAGGCTTGCACCACGGAAAACCGGGACAAGCTAAGACCAATGCCTACCACGCACGATGCACAGCTTGTAGGACCGCCACTCCAACAACGCCAACATCACCCACCGTCACCGCGATGTGGAAAGTCATTCACGAAATCCAAGCAGATCTGCTTCCTTGGCTGTGATCCGTAAACTGGTGGCCTTGCATATCTACGCCACTCGATCGGCAACATTGTGTGATAGCTAGTATGTAAACTTCGAAACTGGCCCCCAATTCGAGGGGGCGGTGCTGCAGCCAGCACAAAAGCGAATTCGCGACTTACGCCTGGTATCCCCGCGTTTTTACTGGCTTGAGGGTGGTGTGCAGTCTTTCACGTATCTCCATCGTGTTCCTGCTTTCCTCGTTGCTAACGGCTTCCTACTTGTATCGCATGCACAACCGAGCGCGTGATGGTTTGTGATAGTTGCGTGTTCACCTTTCCGCTCTCACGATGATACCGAAACTATCCCAGTTCTCATCCACTTTCAGCACAGCACCCTCACACTTTACAACGTTCTGGCGCGAACCCCATCGACAAGCGGCCAAGGACATCCGCAGAAAATGGCGACGCTGTGCACTTTGGATACTTCTCGCAGCATGGCTTGCACTCTTGTTGTTTGCCTTTGCTGTGCTGATAGCGCCAACTTCCAGAGTTGATTCTGGATCTCAACCAGCCTGTTTACCCGACGATTCTTTTGCGCTGGACCCATCAAAGTTTCGATTCTTTAGCAAATCTGGCTTCTTCCAGATTACATTGGGATTTGGGCATATGAACTTCACAGAGGTGAAAACTATAGATATTGCCTGGGACATCGTGAGTTGAGGCACACTGTAGCCTGTCTATACTATATCTCCAGACGTTTAAGAAGCTGACTTTTACAAAGCTAGTCGGCCGCGGTGGTCAAGCTCTCGTCGCGTATATATCGTGGCGTGTCTTCGCTCGGTACGTTACAACTTCCATGGAAGTTACGCCCATCACGTTTGGGACATATCGAACGATCTTTCTTCCGAACGGCGGCCTTTTCGTATCTACCCTGTGTATGATCCGTGATTTCGTGAGACGTCACGGGCTACATTCGAAGATAGCCATGGTCTTCATGGTGTGCACCATGACTTTCACCTTTGTGTACCCGACCATCGCCAGTGCAATGACGGGTTATAGCGCGAATGTTGATGCTTTTATCCAAACAACAGGAGGCGAATACGTCCCTTTCAACGCATTCAGCTTCGCATACTTTGTCATCCATGACGGTTCGCGGATCGGTTTAGAAGATGATCATATTGCACTAGACAAAGATCCTGCAAAGGACAATTACCAGTGTAAGTGAGCTAAGCGGAAAATTGAGTAGCGTTATCTGGTCTGACCCTTCTTACACAGTTTTAAACAGATTTGAGCCAGTGGTTCCATCGCTCGGCTCACTTGATGGGAGGTTCAGCACGTGTCATTTTGATCCGGCAGGGAGTGGCGACAGGGTCTTCAACTCTACGTACTGTGAGTTGCAGCGCAACGTATCTAGGTGTAAGCTACATCATGTAGAATTAAGTGACTATTGCTGATTTTTACGCAGATGCTGCAGAATACGGCTTCAACAGAGGAGACAAGATAAATTCTACCTTTGGAGGACAACTTCTGCCGCCGCCTACACTCAACATCTCAGCACCATCTCTGATTAGAACCACGGCGTATGAAAATACATATTATAGTTCTTACGAAGACCTATTGTTTCGAGTCACTAATGACCCATCGCAAATGCTATGGGCATACGATAACAAGACGTACGATTTCAATTACTTACAAGGGAATGGGAAGTGTCAGGCTGCGCTGGTATGTCTGTTGTCACTCGGGTCTTCATTCTCTAACTGAACCGTATAGGACTACAAATGGGGATTCTCATACATCCAACTATTCATTATGGTAACCTTCCACATAGTTTGGACTCTTGGACTTTTCACCATGTGGATCAGAGCCTGCATGGTTATGAAGAAACGAGGGCGAGGCAGAGAAGACGTGGCAGGAGAAAATAAGGCTGTTTTCGAACTTGCAGCCGCGATGCAAGAGCAGATGAACGAGCCTACAAAGGAAGAGGGCGACGATTTGTCTGCCTTGACCGAAGCAAAACTGCGACGACGCATTAAAAACGATCTACGCGGAGGGTCCATCTCATACAACACTCCAATACTTCCCAACGGGGAAGGCGGCGAGAAGTGGAATGCCATAGCTTGGACAAAGAGCCATAAGCTGAGCATCATTGCGATGATCGTATGCCTTGTGGCGATGATGATCAATCTGTTTGTTTGGGTACCGGACGATACCGGTACCGTCGCCCTTCTCCCATTACCCACCGTGTTGATCGCCGCTTTGTACATCGGGTCAACCAAGGGAAGTCGCATCGTCTTGTTTATCTGGATCTTTATCCTTGTCGTCATCCCGACGCAGATTACTGTATCTATAGCTACATATTAGTATCAAAATATTGTAGTTTTGATCGCTTGAATGGACTTCTCATTATTAATTCTGCTAGGCTTTGTAACATAATCAACACCAACCCTCCCAGGGTATGCGATTCTTTCTCTGTACCAATTGTAACGTGCCTTCATGTCAAAATCCGCGGACTATCTATCCGCACCGGCGCACTCCCAAAAACAGGCTCCAACCTCACACCGCCAAAACTCCAGCCATCAACAAAGACGCCCTCTTCAAACCTCTTACTAACGATAAACCCCAGCGCCCCATCCAACCCTACACTAACCTCGATATCCCCCTCAATCTCCACCCACCCTTTCCCCTTGAACTCTTCATACCGCTTCGATCCCACCCTCACCCTCACAGCATCCGGATGCAACAACACACTGCCCACATCCGGCGTAATCTTGACATCAACATACCGTTGCGAAAACGTATTCGGATCAAACGGTTTCCCAACGCTAAAGACGAGATCCCGAGGCGCTGTATACGAACTGCTGTGAAACGAGACAAGGAACTGGACTTTGTATTTCCCCTGCGGAATCCCCGTCTTGATCGTCCGGAGACAAACATTATCAGCCTTGATACACTGATACACTGCCGCTTCCTCGCGTCGCCCATCATGATCCAGATCCTCGGCAACAGGGTAAACCCTTTTCAACCTCCCCGTCTCATTATCAATCGCAAGACCGCTCTCCCCACTCGGCGATAAATCACGGTATTGTGACATTTTCGGTAGATCTTCTAGATGCGGGCTTACACCAAGTGGCATCCCCGTTTTAAAATCCACCTGCGCGAGTTGAAACGACGAATCCATTAGACCGCGTCCCGTCATTCCAAGCCGGAAGTGACTAGCACTGATTTCGAATCTGGGCGGGAGCGCCGAGAGTTTAGCCATGCGTTGGCCAAAATCCTTGGCCGACCGGATTTGCTCGCCGTCGTTCATGTAGAGTTCGGTTAGGGACGCCATTTCATCTTCCTTCATCCACTGCTCTAGACTGACGTCTGCGAGCCCGCGATCAACGTCGAAGCGGAAGTACTTTGTGTCGCTGTTGTTGTACATGCGCTTCATTTCGTTGTCGACGCGTGCGGTGGATGTGGCCATTCCGGTGAGGGCGCTTGCAATGGAGATGTCTGTTCCGAGGCCGAATGGCAGCCAGGATGCCATCTTCTTTACGCTGGGTATGGATTGTAGACCTGTTCCTACGGAAACTATGACGCCGATTGAGCGGCCTTCCCAGAGGGCTTTTGCCGCATAATCGACTTCTGCGCAGGGGTTGTTGAAGCCGACGCCACCATCTAGGTAGGTGACTTTTGGTGTGCCGAATTGCATTTCCTCGAAGAAGGTTGGTGCTGCAGAGGTGGCGCGAAGGGCTTCCCAGATACGCGTCGTTCGGTCGTTGGGGTCGTATGTTGAGAGAATTCTGGGGAGACCTAGAGCATTCTTGAGAGACGTGAGGACAAAACCGCGGCAGCCTTTTGCGTTTGCTTTTCTGTGGACGGATTGCCGGTGGTGCAATTTCCAGGTTGCGCTTCGCATCGGTTTTCTGAGACCAAATGGGCTGTCGCTGTACAATGTTGACGGAGCTATGGTGCTATCCATACTGTCGGGGGGTCCGGAGGCTAACGAGCATTCTGAGTTCTTGAGTGTGGCTACTGGGCTCTCCGTGATGAGGGGTGCTGGTGCTGCGTCTGCCCAGATGCTGTCCCTGGGTAGATCATTCGCTTCGTCCACCTCTTCAAACAGTGCTTCATCCCACATGAGTTCGTTTGGATCGAAACCTAGATCTTTCAGTGCAGTCTTGATGGCGTTTGCAAGGACGGTGCCTGAGAAGCGACTGGCTCCTGTTGGGATCTTCATGCCAAAAGCCTTGAGCGATCTGTCGTGCTTGAATATCTGCTCGGCTAGTTTACTGTACACCGCAATACAGTCTTTGCAGTTTAGTCGTAACCTCGAAAGCATGATAGCTATGATTCCACCCGTCGAAGTTCCGCCAATAAGATCAAAGTAGTCGCATGGTTTGAGCGGTTCGTGGTCGTTCATGGCTCTCCTTCCTAATCTCTTCTCCTCCAAAGCTATATTCTCCATCAGATTCTCGAGTACCAGCAACGACGATAGTCCTCGTACACCTCCTCCGTCCAACGATAGCAGGCGTAACGGCGCATTTGGATTTCTTTCGGGGTTCGAAAAATCCATGGTATTTAGGCGCCCAAACGGGCGGGTCGTATGCTCAGATGGGTTCCAGGTGTCGATCGGGAAGTATACGTATGCGTTGGGGCGGATCGTAGGATGTTTGTTTGCGAGTGTAGGTTGTATCGAGGGTGTAACCGAGTCGAACTTCTAAATCCACCTCCGACTCATAAGCACCAACTGTCACGAGGCGGCCTCTCCTAGGTTGATAGTATTTCAGTGGCGACGACACGAAGTGAGTCAGGTGTGCAAGACGTATGCAGAGTGGAAAGGTTGCCTACAAGGCTGCGCTACGGGCCAAATTCTATATGTCGTATGAAACAAATGACGCGCCAGACAAGGCGGAATCTCGAAATACCACCAAACCCTAGAAGCCGGGACCAAGCGTCCTATAAGTCCTGTGCCACACCCCACACATACTACAGTACTATGTGCTGTACGGCGTCAATGCGTACATGAAGATACTCGAAGCGTATGGGTTTCGGGGGCCATCTTACGCGCCTGCTTACCTTGCGTGGCTAGGTCAGGCCCACCTTTGTACAGAATAAGGCTACGCGCTGCGCCACTACGGATATGCGGCGCAGGCGGTCTGGATATAGCACAAACAATGTACATTCGAACATTTCGACCCTACGTTTCGATAACAGCATCGGCGACAAGGAGTAGAATCAACTAGCGCAATAGATATCATGTGGCGGGTGCAGCGGGAAAAGCAGGCAGCCAAGGTTGTAATGTGTCAGAAGCGTCAACCAATCACTGGCGCTGCGTGATGGGGCTGATCGGCGTAGCTGTGACTTTCAAAGGTCAGCTGCCAGGCGGGGGTGATGTAAGCTCTGCATGAACGAAAGCCGCGCTGAGGCTCCGCAGTAACGACATGCGCACCCCTCGATCGCTCTGAGACGCCGATGAATGTGTTGGAAATGCAAACCAGGGCTGAAAAGGCCCTGTGCTCTATTAGATTACATGTGTGTACCAATATGCTGAATGCAAGCGATCGTGTAAAGCAGATCGGTTACCCAAATGCATCGAATTGCGCCCAAATATTCAAACCCTGGGTATTATAATCAAATGCCCGGTGACGCCGTGGATGCCTTCATGTTCAAGTCGTTAAAATCATTATTCGTAGTCGTTAAAGTCGCTCAGCAGAGAATAGTCCGCCGGTCATTAACTACGCAGGTTAGCGGACGAAGTAGGCAGTAGTGCGCGACAATGACTTACGGATAGTTTGTTGCGGTATTGTTCCCAATGTTGGTCGTATTCCTTTTGCAACATTGCATCTGACTCCTTGGCTCGAAGAGTGCGCAGAGTCTCCATGCGAGGGCTATCCTTCCTCCTCAACTTTTGTCTAGGGACATAGATCGGCGAAGGCGAAGGCTTGATAGTCCAATGAGAAGGCGCGAAATAACTTAGCGAGCGTGCGTGTGTTGTTGGCGAACCGGGTGGTGACGTGGCGGGTGTTGAGGGGCTCGATGCACAAAAAGAGGCCGAGTCGGAGAAGACAGATGGTGATGGCGACGAAGCTACTGAGCTGTTGCTGTTGGAGATGACAGGTGACAGGACTATGGGCGATACGGGGTCCGCAGGAGTGAAGCGGGTGGGACCGGGTCGTCGCGCACTGCCCTTGCCAGAAAGGGGCGATGGTCTTTTGATGTCGACAACACGAACACCTGGGTACCTCTGTGGAGTCGTAAAGGGCGCCTTGCTGGAGTTGCTTTTGGGGTTGGGAGTGGTCTTGGTGTTGGGATCCTTTCGTGCCAGCGCTGGTGAAGTGGGTTCCTTGGGGGTGGTGTGGGTCGGTGCGGAGGGTGGCGCGTCCTCTCTGCGCGAGAGCGGTGATGGCTTTCTTTCGGCGGCGACAGCACGGCGCACTTTGGATGGGAGTGTGTTCCTCCTGCCGAACAACGGTGTCGGACTCTTGACAATGTCGTCGGGGCTGAATTGGAAGGGTTCGGATGGGCGAGACGGTAGCGATGGCCGTGTTGATTTCGAGGGCAACGAGTTGCTTCTGTTGAAGAGCGGCTTGGGGGACAGTTCAGTCTGTCCTCCAAAGTGGAACATGGCCGGTCCTTTCATCTCCATCTCGGACTTGTGTGCTGGCGTTGTGGGGAGCGATTTGTTGTACTGTTTGACGACGCGGTTGGGATGGCGTCGCGGAACGGGAGGTGTTTCGCATAGCGTTAATGTCTCTTCAAACAAGACGTCGAGGTCGTCTTCTGCCATCTTCCTTTTCATAATAAACGCGACGGCAGTGCGAAGCGAAGAGGGATATGTAGGTGGGTGGGCGTACTCAAGCGAGACGGGTGTCTAATCCTGACACGAAGCTGAGGGTTCCATGGGAATATTAAGCAGGAAAGGTGGGATCACCCGCCTCCTCTACTAAATCCATTAGTCGGTCAAGTCCTTGTTTACAGGCGGAACAGGCGAGCCAGCGCTAGACGTCATTGGACAAGACGCTGGCGCTGCAAGTTGCGGTAAGTCTGGCTAGACGCGATCGAAGGTTTGCCAGCGTGGCTAGGACCCATAACCCTGCATCCTCATTTTAAATGCCCCACGGGACGGGCGATCACGCGCAAGTCCCAACAGCTTTCCTCAGGTGAGGACATGCAAGTAATTCGAGATGCGCACGAGAGTGGGTTGGCGCTGATGGGCTGATGGAGCTGTGGAGTTGAGGAGGGTGAGCATTGAAATCTGTCGTACCTGACGAAACTCGTCATCGATCCAAGGCCGGCAAGTCGGGCGCTAGGAACCAGGCCCGGCAACGCCTTCCCTAGGAGTGTACCTTGGGATCGAGATTCTTGGTAGTCAACCGTCTTCAACGTCAGGGGTCATGTCATACCACATGCATCGCTCGCCATGATGGATGCAGGATGCAATGACGAACGGCAGCGAGGTGCAAGTTGAGCCCAGTTGAGGTCATCTCTAGGAGCTACTTCCGGGTCTGACGGAGCAGCAGAGCATGTTACGTAGTGTCACCACACTGTGCTTGAAGCGCAAGCTGACAGGTCTCGACCACCATGCAAGCTTCAGCATAGCAAGGGTATTATGGTGCTGTGGTCTCAGCTCCACAGCGATGCTGTTCGCCCAGCCAAAGACGGTGTGTAGACTGCTGTCCTCATCCATGCGAAGACTGCGTCTCGAAACTATACTATTCTGCCACCCTACGTACCGCCACATTACAATCCTTTATTCTAATAAAAACATCAACGTAGTACAGATACGACTACAAAGTAGCATGCCCTTCGCCTTCTAGATGCAACATGAAATACAAACGCTTGGTATCATCAGTGAATATGCACATAAGAAAAAGCACCATCTGCACGTGGTCTGTCTCAGGTCCATCAGTCGACTTCACCAGAGAAGGTCTGTCGACGTAGCGCCGGAGTTCCCATGTTGTTGAGCGGGATGCCAAAGTCGTCTTCTTCAGCCCAGTCAGCTTCGTCGTCTGACTCCCAGGCGCATGGGATCTTCTCTGCGCGGCGCACACGGTACGTGTTGAAGCCAAAGCCATTCGAGATACTTGTAGCGATGCGAAGCATGACCGAAACCAAGTGTGCAGGTGGCCCGAGAACAAGCTCGCATGTCTTGCGTACCAGGGCATTTGTGAAGTCCTTGCGAGGGCTGTGTTTTGGTGGACAGAACAGGTTTTGGGCTGGAGGCATAGGAGAAAAAGCGCGCCTCTGCGAAGCCCCTGTAAGCTTCCTCATGCGGATCGCGTCAGGCGGCGTGGGAATTTCTATGCTCGCCCGCTCAAGACTATCATCATCGGAATCGCTTACAAGCGGTGGTGTAGATGGTGCAGAAGAAGGTCGTACATCGATCGAGGGAGTTGTGGAGGAATAGTATGGGACTGTAGGCGTCACAGGTGCGGATGGATCGGTACGTTCGGTGGAGGGACCACGAACGGTAACCTCTGATACCTGGCGTCGATGTGTTGAACGTCCCCTTGGCTCGTCTTCTTGCTTAGAGAAGGTGTTCGCCCATGGGTTTATGGCATCAGCATCGGCATCAAGGAACTTTGGAGAAGGTGTGGCAGTATTCAGGGAGTAGAACGAGTCTACACTCGAGGCCAGACTGGGGGCATCTGAGATTTGACGTTCAAGGATGGGTTTATCGGCTTCGCTAGACTGCTTCGCCGGAGGAGAGAGAGGAGACTCGACTATGCGCTCCATGGCAGAGACGGATTCTCTCCTGGGCATTTTGATGGGGGCAGTTGCCGAGCGCAGCCCTTGAAACATGCTGACCCGTTCTCCCACTGACAGGCGGCGCGGAGGCGCTTTTGACGCGAGGGGTCTGGGTGTAATTGTCGCTAAAGGGACCTCAGGGGCCGCGGATACTATCTCGCTACTGTCGGTACAGACGCTCGACCGGTCGTCCTCGTCATATGAAGAGGTAGTGCCAGTCTCTGAGCGATCAGTGCCAGACGTAGAAGGTCTTGAGCCATGCTGTTGTGGTACCCAGGTCTTATCCATGACCCACTTCTTTGCCTGTCCCGAAGGCTTCCTCTTGATCGTCTTGCGTGGAGGGCTCTTTGGACGCTCAAGCTCTGCCACGACTTCAAAGCCTCGCGCAAACGGGCACTGTGTCCTCTCGTACTGCATCACCTGCGCCAATACTGATTTGAAATGCGTGATGTTGACCTTGTCCTCGTCGGTCTCATAGGGGAGCTCGATGCGATAGTAAGAGTCCTGCCGTATGCGTAGCACAAAGACGGACTGATTGTCGACAAGCCATATCTGGGATCGGGGGAAGATTGTGTGCAGGAGGTTGCCGCTGTTGAGGAAGGAGACGTTGGAGGCTGTCACGCGATAGATGCGAAGAGCCCCTGTGATACGTTAGACAGCCCTCAGGCTGGGTGGCAGGTGGGATGACATACCGACTGCAAGTGTGCGCTCTGTAGGCGTCTTCCATGGTATCGGATGCGACGTGTCACCTGAACGGGAGGGCGAAAGCCGGCGAGCGGGTCCGGCTGTGGTAAAGGAGAAGATCTTGGAGTTGGAGCACACAAACAGCGTCTCTATGCCGTCAGTCGTGTTCCTCGACGCGGGCACCGACTCAGTCCTCCGTGTCGCGCGCGCGGGGAGCGTGAAGCTGCGCCCGGAGTTGCTGGGGTTGAGAGCGGACGGCGCGTGCTCAGGATGCGCATGCTGGGATGAAGCCGGCATCGTCATAATGGGCGTGCTATATGGACATTTCTATCCCAGTGAGGTCGGGGTAAAGGCTCCCTAGAGAAGACAGCGGCCGGCGCTTGCAGAGGGGTGTATTACAATAGTTGCTTTTGAGTTGGGTGGGTAATCGAAGGCTGAAGCCGAACCAAGTCCCTTGCTTCGGAATGGGATACGCGCTTGGGCCACAGCGACGAATTCAGTTTCAAGCTGATCAGCGGCGTGTCTGAACCCCGCCCGCGTCCAGATGCCTTCATGCAGCCTACAGATTATGGAATGCTAGGCGCTGGTAGAAGTAGCATTGTCGTCGTGGCAGGCGCTACCTTCCAACGACGCGTTCTTTGTTTGCGACACGCGCAGCTGGATGGGTCCGTGGACTGCTAGCACGACGTCATTGCTCCGCCAGTTCGCAGGCGTTCGCACAAGTCGTCGACGTGGAGTCAAGCTCTAGCTTTGCTGGCCTGATTGCAACACCAAGCTGCCTGGTAGCCCCCTCACCTTGCAAACATGGACAAAATCGACCTGTCCCAGTTCGATGTATCCAACTTCGACCCTAATGCCATCCTGCGGGGAGCCCAGCTGACTTTGGTCGGTGGTAAGGCCTGCCCATCACGGTATCGTCATGACAGCTCCATTCTAACACGCCCCGACAGTCAATCGGGCTCTCCAGAACCCAGGTCTCTTCACCTCGGACCACTACCGCCAAGCTGCTATTGCTGTAGCTGCAGGCATCGCTATCCGTGTCATCGTCGCCATACCCGTACGCTCCGTCTCCTCCACCAAGCAAGCAAACACGGCCACTGACACACCCAGATCCAAGGCGTAAGAGTGCTACTATGGATACTCTCCCTCTTCGTCAACATGGACCATACCCACATGGACGAAAGCGTCGTGAATGGCCTCCACTTCCTTGAGCACACCGTACTCCAGGTACCCTTCTTCCTCATGACGATGATGCGCTACGTCACTCCTACTTTGGACCGAATGTAAGCATATCTGTTGCTCATCTACAGCGCTAGCTGACAGCAACCTTCAGGTTCATGGACTCCCTGCGTTGGGTGGACGAGACCTACGTGCAGAAGCACAAGACCGAAGACCCCCACAATCTGCGCGCCATGTACTATCCAAACCTTGAGAAATACCCCGAGCACGCACCCAGAGTCGACAAAGAGAAGAAGCCAATCAAACAGGCTGTCATGATATACGCAACGAAGCAGGGAAGGAAGGCTGCCATTTCCTTGGGAGTATTAGCATTGTCGTACGTTCCATACGTAGGACGTTTTGTGCTACCCGCCGCCAGTTTCTATACATTCAAAAAGTCGGTAGGAACGCAGCCAGCAGCGGCCATCTTTGCAGGGTCACTGCTCTTTCCCCGCAGATATCTGGTCAGCTTTCTGCAGGCCTACTTCTCGTCACGAACGCTTATGCGTGAGCTGGTATGTACCTTGACAGCAGACCTTGAAGTCTCACTTCTAACTTCAGACAGCTTGAACCTTACTTCACACGCGTTCGGTACAACAAAGAGCAGAAGAAACTATGGTTCAAAGATCGAGCTGGCGTGCTTTTCGGTTTCGGCCTAGGCTTCTACGTATTCGTCAAGATACCTCTCGTGGGCGTCCTCATCTACGGCCTCGCCGAAGCCTCGACGGCATATCTCATCACCAAAATCACAGAGCCGCCGCTGCCACCGACCGAAGCTGAGAAGTTCAAGGAAGAGTCATTGCGCTGGAAGAACAAACACGAGTTCCTCAATCTGCCATGGCAGCACATGGACGAGTACAATCTTGCAATGCACAAACCCCAGTTCCAATCCGAAGTACGGCAAACACCACGAAAAACGTTTAGCTAGGTTGCGATGACGTTGAAATCCTCAACGACTAGCTCCACGCAAGCGGGGGCCTCCCGTTCAACATGACGAAGACACGTCCTCGCACCTTGGAAATAGTTCGCAGCTAGTATGTGCGCCGTCGGCAATCAGGTGTATCTAGCTGTCACGCTATCTGGCCGCTGTACGATGATGGTACTATTATGATTATACCCCGCAGTGGGGTCAACGCGTCCCGTTGTGGTAGGTAGCTTACAGCTCCGTCCGATGATACGTAACGTAACAGCCGCGTATCGTAGAGCTTATCACCCACCTTGTAGTAATAGTTGGTGGATATGGCATTCGGCCTTGTCTTCGGCACGTATCCTTATATCCGAGATAACAATTGACAGGCTGAGGTTACTCTTTCCCCGCGTCTGTTGTCTTCATATGCGTGACGTTCCCCGCTCGCGCGACTAGACGCGTTTCTTACTATTCTCTGATCTACACAGCATACCATCTCCTTCGTTCTTTTCACTTTATAATTCAGTGTATCCCAAATCCTCAATATGGGTAAAGAAGGTCTCCGCTATGCAGCGAAAGTGTCACTAGACAAGCCAGCATCAGAGCAAGAGTGCCTGCACGTATGTCGAATCATTCTGCCCTATACTGAGCTACTCTAATACATGTCTTTTTTTCTTCTTTAGAACCGCTGGCACCCCGAAAATCCCTCGTACGCCACTATCAAACCCGGCGAAGCCGTCAAGATCGAGTGTGTAGACTGGACTGGCGGTCAAATCGGCAACAATGACTCTGCAGACGATGTGCGGGATGTCGACCTTACTAAGATTCACTACCTAACCGGACCTTTCGATATTGAAACCGCAGAACCGGGTGACGTCCTCGTTGTTGACATTCAAGATGTACAGCCGTTAGAGGACCAGCCTTGGGGGTTTACAGGTGTGTTTGCAAAGGACAATGGCGGTGGATTTTTGGACGAACTCTACCCTGAGGCGTAAGTGTTGTTAGTTGTTTTGGGGGGGAGGGCAAAGACAGTGGGAGAGGTGCTGATCAAAGCGGTGGACTAATATATCGGCAGGGCAAAAGCCATCTGGGACTTTGAAGGCATCTTCTGTAGCTCTCGCCATATTCCCGGCGTAAGATTCGCAGGCCTCATTCACCCCGGCAGTAAGTCATCCTTGTTCACATCCACACGCACAAAATGCCGAATACAGCGCTGACCTCATCCTTTTCTCGTCTTCCAGTTCTAGGCTGCGCGCCCTCTGCCGAAGTCCTGGAGACTTGGAATACCCGCGAAGCCGAACTCATCTCTACACACACCCATCTGAATCGCGACGTGGCTAAACCGCCTGAGCCCCAAAATGCCCACGCAGGTTCTGCAACAGGATCTGTAAAGGAGAAGATTGCCAAAGAAGGCGCGCGCACTATTCCAGGTCGTCCTGAACACGGTGGTAACTGCGATATCAAGAACTTGTCGAGGGGATCTAAAGTTTTCTTGCCGGTACATGTCAAGGGTGCAAAGTTTAGTGTGGGAGATTTGCATTTCAGTCAGGTAAGTCTTTACATCTCGTTCCAGCGAAGTCTGTACGTGGCCTTGAAACTGACATCCATCTTTCCACCTGCTAGGGCGACGGCGAGATATCCTTCTGCGGCGCAATCGAGATGGCAGGCGTCATAACAATCAAGTTCAGTGTCATGAAAGGCGGCATGAAGCAACTCGATATGAAGAGTCCAATCTACATCCCAGGCCCCGTCGAACCGCAGTTCGGTCCTGGAAGGTATATTTACTTCGAGGGCTTCAGTGTGGATGAACACGGGAAACAGCACTATCTCGATGCGACGGTTGCGTACCGGCAGACTTGTCTGAGGGTAATTGAGTATTTGAGACGATTTGGTGAGTTTGCAATTCTTCTTTCTGCGTTTTTTTGCACGTATCCTCTCCCCCATGTTCCGCGCTCGTCTCTGCCAATTCTAGATTTCTTGGCCTTTTAGTTCTTTTTTTGATTTGAGACCTATAGTGGCAAAGGGGCGCTGGCCCGAGGTTTCATCAAGTTTCTTTTTTCTCAGATATCTTTTACTAACGATATCACAGGGTACAGCGACTACCAGATCTATCTCTTGCTCTCTTGCGCCCCGGTTCAAGGTCACATAGCCGGTATAGTCGATATCCCCAATGCGTGTACAACTATAGGTTTGCCGATGGACATCTTCGACTTTGACATCAGTCCGCATGTTCCCGCTGAGAAGCGCGATCTCGGGTCTTGCGCATTTGCTGGCAAGAAGTAGACCGTGGTCTGTGTGTGTAGAACGTCTACAGGGATTGTGGAGATTGGGTCAGAGGATGGCGCAATGTGGCTGAAGCTTAGCCGTTATTGTGCTATTTCAATCAGTATCTCCTAGTAGGCAATCAACGTCAATTTACCTTTTCCAAGGCGTTCAAATGGCTTGTAGAACTAATATCTCTGTATAAGAAGTAGCGTTGGTCGCGCTTCGTGAGTCTAGTCAAACATTCTAAGAGACTCATTGTCTTTCTTCTTCAGCCAAGGCATAGGGAGATGGAACCGGGAAACTTTACAAGAAGCCAGAATGGCCTGGATGATTTGTAGGCACTATTAGTGGTTGCATCGTGATCGGGGTATTGTATGATAAAAACCCATGATACCAAGGTCAAGCGGTGATAGTAGTTCGAGATGTATAAAATTGATGAGCGATTCCGTACATGTAGATGTATTGTATTGGTTCTGTCATTTAGGTTGATTACTTCCGCTATCGTTTTAGGCGATCGTGGTCCATTCTGTGAACTCTAGATGGACATTTGTTCCTCTCTTACACAGCCTGTCAAAAACTCTTTATAGGACCTTGTCTGCTGCAGAAACATTCAAGCCTGTGTTATCAGACTCGACGTGTGCTGCTTTGACGGTACCGTTGTCAATCACAAGAGCGTATCGCTTCGAACGATCACCTCCGAAGATGGAGGCGCCATCGAAAGAGAGATCAAGCGCCTTTGTAAAGCGAAGGCTGGGATCTCCCAAGAAGCGGATCTATCAATGTCAACACCACAATGTCTGAAGGGCGAACAAGGTAACACTCACGCCGCTGGAGCCTGAAGGGTCGAGCATCTTGCCCCATGCTTTCATGCTACATCCGATCAGTTGAGAACATGGCGGATATCAAGAAGCATCTGCTTACACAAAAGGATCGTTTACTGAAACAACAAACACCTTGCCGGCATCCTTCAACTTAGGAGAATTGATATAGCCGGGGATATGGTTCTCGGAGCATGAAGGTGAGAAAGCTGCAGGAACACCTTTGGCAGTTGTCAGACGCAGCTTTGTCAACGAGACCCGCCAGACGTTAATTACCGATAATGACACCTTTGCCGGTCAACTCATTTGCTAGGTTGACCTTGTTACCCGGAGAACCCTCGACGAGTTCAACGTCAGGCAGCTTGTCTCCAACATTGACGAATGCAGGCGCAGAGGCGTGAAATAGACGCCGACTGGCGACGGGACGCACTAGAGGCAGGCGACGGGCGGTAGCGAACATGGTGGATGCAGGAGAAAGTGTGTATGTCGGGCGTGGTGTGGGTGTAGAGCACGTGTGCACCTGACAGTGACGAGCTTTCTAAGGTAGTGGGGGTACGACGTGTTTTGCCGGTGTCACTGCTCTCGGAAGACGGCAAGCGCACCCACCAGCTCACTTCCCTCTACGCAGCACGTGTGCATCTGCCTCATCCAAAAGTATGCTACATGGACACCTCCGCGGTCGCAGTACCTCAGTAATATCGTCAAATGTGCATACTGATACTCGTGTCCATAATTAGCTGTCGTATGTACAGACTAGTCCTGCCTGCACCAGCAAATTGCGGATAATGATGTTAACCTATCGACCCACACCAGCTTTAGCGAAGGCTATTCGGTGCTATGCCGATCGTGCCTCAAGCCAGTGATGTTTCGTCAACGGCGTAATCAGTGGAGACATGGGCCAGAAGGACCATGGGCGAAAGAATGATCAAAACTGTGCTATATGCTGGAAAAAGCAGTGTAATATCGCACCACCGTCGAGAGTGAGAGCGTGTGTGTGTGCGGTGCAGACCTCACCCACGACTCAGGCGTCTTCACCCCCGTGTCCCGTGTCCTGTCATTCCCCCCCTGCTTCGTCTCCCTCGGCACGACGCCCGCTAGCGCATTGCCAACTGCATTCCTCTCAAGCCCAAGGTTAACCTGCTTTAGGCCCGTTTAGCTCCCAAGTGCCCGCGCAGAAGCCGCGAGGCAATGTGCCCATGTTCTCCCTGTCTCTTACACTTGAAGGTCCAGATCTCGCCCATCGCACTCCGTCGTCAGCCTGCAAGAAGGCGCGCCCGTTTTGGGAAATTTCGTCATCGCTCGTCCAACACCGATCGCCCGCGGCTAAGCAAAACTTTAAGCGCATAGCATACAACGCGCCGCCGGAACCTCGCGCGCCGTCTTCCGTAGCTTCGATCGCAGTCGCTTCCAGGTACTGAAGACTGTGACGGGGAATTTGCTATCTCATTTCGGCATCGACGAGACTCATCCGGTGCCGTCGCGCATCAACACGGGTTACCAACGACGGCTTCTTCGCCCACGACAGTCGTCAATTCACCTGCATCATGGATCCCAATCAAGCCGGTGGGGGAGGGTCCAACAACTCCAGCGACTTTGTGCGCAAGCTGTACAAGTAGGTGGACGCGCCCATGCGCGACGTGACGGCGTGCTAAAACATAGTTTAGGATGTTGGAAAACCCGAGCGACGAGAGTGTTGTACGATGGGGGAATGATGGCGACAGCTTCGTTGTCCTAGAAGTATGCGCCTCGTATACGTACCAATCGATTGCACCTGCTAACCAACGGACAGAACGAGAAGTTCACAAAACACATACTTCCCAAGCATTTCAAACACAGCAACTTTGCTAGTTTCGTCCGCCAGCTGAACAAATACGATTTCCACAAAGTCCGTCATAACAACGAAGAGAATGGGCAGTCGCCCTATGGGCCAGGAGTATGTGGCATTCCTGCATATCTTCGTGACTATGTTAGCTAACAAGCCAATAGGCCTGGGAGTTCAAGCACCCTGATTTCAAGATGAACAACAAAGATGCGCTCGACAACATCCGTCGAAAGGCTCCTGCACCACGAAAACCAAACCAAGCTGCCGCCGAAGAGTTCGCACCCTCACAACAGATGGACATGGTTAGCGGTCAGTTGATGGCCACACAAGCTCAGCTGCATGCGCTGGAGAGCCGCTATAGTGAACTGAGCATCCATCATTCCATGCTTCTGCAGGAGGTTATTGGGCTACAAAAAACGGTCGTCAACCACGAACATGTTATGCAGCAGATCATGACTTTCCTACATGGTGTCGATGCGACACAGAGGAGGAACAGCAAACTCATCTTCCCTAACGGCGCCGAGTCGCAGAACGGCAGTATGGAGCCTCCTTCCAACACCGATGACGACAACCCTGCTTCGCCCTTACAGCACGCTTCGAAGCTTCTCAGTGAGACGAACGCGGACGCCATGCTGAACCCCCGGAATTTGGAGCAAATGAACGAGATCACCATGCGCATGAACGGGACATTAACAACGCCACCGCCCGACTTCGCGCGAGCAGCAGCACGGCCGACGAGCCGCGGCCCACCATCTGCAACCTCCACCAACTCAATGCGCCTAGAAAACCTCGACAACCTTGTTTATCCCGTGGGTTCTAATAATGGCATCGATCCCATGTACAGCGAGCATATCAACAACATCCCATATGCCGCTCCGCCGAAAGCGGCCGAGGTCAGCGAGCCCAGAATTCCAGAACCGAGAAAGAAGAATACCATCCCAGACCCAGGGTGGATCAGACCTCCTCAGATCTTGCTGGTCGAAGACGATCCCACTTGTCGTCGAATCGGAAGCAAGTTCTTGTACGCTTTCCATTGCTCCATTGATAGTGCTGTAAGTCATCTTCCCGTGCTTTCCAGACTCCATACTGACTGAAATAAGCTCGACGGTTTGGAGGCGGTTAACAAAATGAACGCGGGATCCAAGTATGATTTGGTTTTGATGGATATCATCATGCCGAACCTCGACGGTGTGTCAGCCTGCCATCTGATTCGACAATTCGATACTACTCCTATCGTTGCCATGACTTCCAACATCCGAAGCGACGACATCTCGATGTATTTCCAACATGGTAAGACCGGCTCATCTGTATGTCTAACAATGGCTAACATCCCCAGGCATGAACGACGTTCTTCCTAAGCCCTTTACCAAAGAGGGTCTATTGCACATGCTAGAAAAACACCTTGTACACCTCAAAAAGCCAATAGCTCAAGCTGACGGAACTATGGTTGCACCTCAACCTGTGCAAATCGCACGTCAGTTGGTTCTCAAGGAAGAGGACTCTCCGGCCAAGTCCCCCCAGACTGTCAGTCAGTGGAACTCACCAAACCAAATGCCGGGCGTTTCTCCAGTTGGTACCACAGTTCCGGATGATTTCGCACAGGCAATGCGCGGCCAGCCAGTGCAGCACCCGACTCCCTACGGCGTGAATCCCATGCATGGGAACATGGGATATAGCACCTCGCCACACATGCAAATGCAACCACAGCAACAAGCACAATTACCGCCAGGTCACCGTCGTCAGGTCTCGGAGATATCTGGAGGCGATGATTTGAATAACCCAGCCAAACGTCAACAAATGTACCCACCTCAGATGCAGCAGCAGATGGGAGGAATGCAACCGCGCCCACGTTGATATGTCGGGTAGCGAGGGGGCGAAGAGGGAATTTTCATGTTAATAATTCGAGAAGAAGGAGTACAGCCACTGGCTTCCTGTGGACAGGCATGGAGCACGTAATCGCGTTGCTGGACAGAGATGTTTCGCCATGTTGGAGCCGATAGTCGTGGTCGGCCCTTGTATCTACGAGAGAGATAAAGTGCAAGGATCGGACAGCTCGGGAAGCTGTCTATGAGGGTATCCAGGACCTTTGGGGTCTCCGGCGTTCCAAGGTCATCTATTGTGCCAGGTCCGGGTTGGACATTTGCTAGAAAATACCCTACATGTTAGATAAACAATTGATCAATTCTTTTCTCAGACGCGAGAATCCCAGTGCTCAGCAGTGCTCCCATGTGAAAGTGTCGTCGCAATAAGCATTCCCGAGCAAATGTCCTCCCTGGTGGTCCAGACCTTGATAGCCAGCCCAAAAGACCGCGCACGAGCATGTTCGAGAATCATGCGCCCTGTTGCAGCGGCTTACCCGCAGAGCCACCCCGCTAAAG